AAAAAAAAAAAAAAAAAAAAGGCAGTCCTAAATATCATAATAGAAAAAACATATATCCTAGAGAGCAGATTCCAAATTATTCTAGACTATTTGAGGCTGATAAACATACCAAGTGAGAGCAAGTTACTATAGTTTTCCACCATCACGTCCCAGTACAAGGTCTTCTGGACACAGTCGAGACATTTCCATTCCTGCTGAGAGAAGTCTATGGCCACATCACTGAATGTCATTGATCTCTAAAATGGCAAATTCATGTATTACCGGAGAATTTTTTTTTTTTTGAGATAGAATCTCACTATGTGATCCTCAGTAGAGTGCCGTAGTGTCACAGCTCACAGCAATCTCAAACTCTTGGGCTTACGTGATTCTCCTGCCTCAGCCCTCCCAAGCTGGGACTACAGGCACTCGCCACAATGCCTGGCTATTTTTTTGTTGCAGCTGTCATTGCTGTTTGGCAGGCCCGGGCTGGGTTTGAACCTGCCAGCCCCGGTGTATATGGCTGATGCCATAACCGCTGAGCTACAGGTGCTGAGCCTACCAGAGAAATTTTAAAGAAAATATTTTGAAAGTGAAAACAGAAGAGAGAAAAGATCACACTGCAAGGAAAGAGCAATATGGGAAGCATTTAGGCTAGAAATCTATGATATAGGAGGGGACCACAGCAGAATGTGTATGTATTTTTAACAAAGTCCGCTGACACAGACAAAACTTACTGCAAGCTAAGGGAAATCTCTATCTAAATATTTTTGGAATGAACAAATAACATGTTTCTCTCCATAATGGCCAAATGATATCTGCCTCATAAATTCTTAATAAATGTGAGTTTGAGAATCATCCTCCCCTCTTTTTCTTTTGGAGACAAAGTCTCACTCTGTCACCCCAGGTAGAATGTCATGGCATTACAGATCATAGCAACCTCAAATTCTTGGGCTTGAGCAATTTTCTTCCCTCAGCCCCTGGAGTACCTGAGATTGTAGGTGCCTGCCACTATACCCAGCTAGTTTTCTATTTTTAGTAGAGACAGGGTCTCACTCTTGCTCAGGCTGGTCTGGAACTCCTGAACTCAAGCAATCCACCTGCCTCAGCCTCCCAGAGTGCTGGGATTCCAGGCATGGACCTACTGAGTAGGCCACCACTTTTGCTGTTACTGTGTTTCCCAAAAATAAGACACTGCCTTATATTTATTTTTTCTCAAGAAGACACACTAGGGCTTATTTTCAAGGAATGTCTTATTTTTATTAAGTATAATACAACAATCTACATTTATTCAAATACAGTTAAGTCATCTTCTTCTGGAACCTGACGGGGGAGCCGACCTTGTTGGTGGGGCTGGCACTACTGATGCGTGAACTCTTTTCCCCTAGCCGTTCGCACGTGTGCGATAGGATGCCTGCAACCAGTTACCACATGCTCACCTGCGCAAGTACAAACAGCTCAGAGAAAGGAGCTGTAGCAGAGAAAAGGTATTCTGGTTTTCCTTACTGCTCTGCGTCGAAATGCATGGCGTGGCTATGCAGTGTATCTAAGTCTTATTATCGAGGTAGGGCTTATATTTAACAAATGCATAGAAATCCTGATAGGGCTTATTTTTTGGGTAGGTCTCATTTTCAGGGAGACACAGTAAGTGAAGAAAAAGTCTAATCATGGCATATGGCATGTTTTTCTTCAACTTTTATACAACTGGGTTTCTATAAAATTAAGATTTTTTTTTTTGGTAGAGATAGAGTCTCACTTTAGCGCCCTTGGTAGAGTGCTGTGGCATCACACAGCTCACAGCAACCTTCAACTCCTCGGCTTAGGCGATTCTCTTGCCTCAGCCTCCTGAGTAGCTGGAACCACAGGTGCCTGCCACAATGCCCGGCTATTTTTTTGTTCCAGTTTGGCTGGGGCCAGGCTTGAACCCACCACCCTCAGTATATGGGGCCAGCGCCCTACCCATTGAGCCACAGGCACCACCCAAGAATTTTTTTCGATAATCCCAGCTACTTGGGAGGCTGAGGCAAGAGAATCACTTGAGCCCAGGAGCATAAGGTTGCTATCAGCAATGATGCCATGGCACTCTACCAGGGACAAGAAAGTGAGAATCTGTCTCAAAAATCTATCTCTTTGAGACAGATTTATGGGAAATTTTAAAGTCTTCTCATGGATAATCAAATGGATATGTTGCCTCTATCTCACCAAAGTGCATGGATGTGGAGAGAGGGGAACACTTTTACACTGCTGGTAGGACTGCAAACTAATACAACCTTTTTGGAGGGAAGTATGCAGAATCCTCAAAGAACTCAAATTAGACCTCCCATTTGATCCTGTAGTCCCATTGCTAGACATCTACCCAGAAGAAAAAATGTCCTATTATCATAAGGACATTTGCACTAGATTGTTTATCACAGCTCAATTAATAGTTGCCAAAATGTGGAAACAACTTCTATGCACACCAATCCAGGAATGGATTAACAAACTGTGGTATATGTATACCACAGATATTATTCAGCCACTAAAAAAGATAGAGGGCAGAGCCTGTGGCTCAGTGGGGAGGGCGCCGGCCCCATATACTGAGGGTGTTGGGTTCAAAGCCAGCTAAAACAGCAGTGGCAACTCCAACAAAAATAGTCAGGCATTGTAGCAGGTGCATGGAGTCCCAGCTACTCGGGAAGCTGAGGCAAGAAAAAAGAATATGTATTCTGATACTAGACCGATACAAGAAAACTATGGATGAGCAAAAACACAAGCATTGCCCTAGCCCAAGAGCTGGAGATTGCTGTGAGCTGTGACGCCATAGCACCCTACTGAGGGCAACAAAGTAAGACTCTTGTCTCAAAAAAAAAAAAATTAATTAAAAAAGATAGAAACTTTACATCTTTTGTATTAACCTGGATGGAGTTAGAACACATCCTTCTTAGTAAAGCATCACAAGAATGGAGAAGCAAGCTGATGTACTGAATTATAATACGAAGATAGTAAATGATCTAATACAAGGGGTGGGGTAGGGGAATGAGGTAGCAGAGAGAGAGGGCGATGGGGGTTATGATGTATGATGCACCTTTTCAGGGTAGGACACAATTATAGGAGGGACTTTAGGCTTGGTGCCTGTAGCTCCCCACCCACATACAAGGATGGTGGATTCGAACCTCCCAACAAAGACAACAACAAAACAGCTGGGTGTTGTGGTGGGTGCCTATAGTCCCAGCTACTTGGGAGGCTGAGGCAAGAGAATCACTTAAGCCCAAGAGTTTGAGGTTGCTGTGAGCTGTGACACTCTACTGAGGGTGATACAGCAAGACTCTGTCTCCAAAAAAAAAAAAAAAAAAGAAAAAAAAACAAAGGGACTTTATCTAACAAATGCAATCAGTGTGACCTAATTCTTTGTACCCTCAATGATTTTTACTGAATTCCAAACAATAAAAAAAGACATTAGAAAAAAAAAAATTCCACAAAGCTGTCGGTTTTCTGATTTTTCTAGTTACTGATTTATAACTATACTTCATTGATGGAGGAAGATACACTGGATAATAGATTTTCAAATCTATTTGAAATTGTGTTTGTGGCCTAACATACTACGGTCTGTCCTAGAAAAGTTCCCCCATGCACTTAAGAATGTGTATTTTGGGCTCAGGGCCTGCGGCTCAGTAGGTAGGGTGCCGGCCACATACACCGAAATTGGTGGGTTCGAGTCTGGCCCAGGCCTGCTAAACAACGATGACAACTACAACCAAAAAATAGCTGGCCGTTGTGGCAGGCACCTGTATTCCCAGCTACTTGGGAGGCGGAGGCAAGAGAATCACTTGAGCTCAAGAGTTGGAGGTTGCTGTGAGCTGTGATGCCCAAGCACTCTACAGAGGGTGACATAGTGAGACTGTCTCAAAAAAAAAAAAAAAAAAAAAGAATATGTATTCTGATACTAGACCGATACAAGAAAACTATGGATGAGCAAAAACACAGAGCACTTAAAACCCTTATAAATGGGAGTATTTGGAGAGTGTTTGTTCTAACATTTAGTGTTTGACTCCAGTTGTTGTCACAGAGGTCCTAAAACCTTTGTAATTTGTCAAGTGACAGTTTTGTCTGACACAAAGCTCCTAAATTTGTTGAGATTTTTCCTGAGTAACAGCCTGTATCTTCTTCTAAGGAGGCATGTTTTGGTTGGCTCCTGCATGGCAGCTATATTTATCTTTAATTGACAACTAACAATTATATATAGGGAATAATGTAATATTTTGGTATGTTTACATTGTGGAATAACTAAATCAAGCTCATTAGCAAATCCATCACCTCACATACTTTTGTGTGTGAAAAGATGTACATAATATATCCTTTTAGTAATTTTCAAATACACAATGATTATTTTACTCACCACTCTGGACAACAGATACTAAAGCTTATTCCTGTTTGAAATTTTGTACCCTTACACCAACATCTCCTCTTTCCTCATGCACCTGCCCCCCAAACCTCTCATTACCACCAATCTACTCTCTTCTTTTGTGAACTGACTTTTGCTAGATTACACATACAAGTGAGATGATGTAATATTTATCTTTCTGTGCCTGGCTTGTTTCCTCTACTACAAATTAATGCCTAGTAAGAACTGAACCATATGTAAAAACCTTCCCACACTGCCTTCAAACTGTTTCTTAGTGGTATAAATCTACTGATGCAAGGTACTTTATTACATGTGCATGCCACAGTGTCTCTACCTAGTATGAATTCTTTGATGTACTTCAAGGATGGAACTAAGCCTAAAGGACCTTCTGCATTGATTACATTCAAAAGGTTTCTCACCAGCATGAACTTTATGATGTATAGTAAGTTCATGGCTATAACTAAAAGCTTTCCCACACTCTAGACATACATAGGGATTTTCACCAGTATGAATCTTCTCATGTCTAACAAGGTATGAGGCACAACGAAATGCCTTTCCACATTCTTTACATTCATAAGGTTTATCACCAGTATGAATTCGTTCATGAATAACAAGCTGTGAGGCATCATTGAAAGTCTCCCCACATTCTTTACATTCATATAACTTTTCACCAGAGTGAATTCGGTCATGATATATGAGGCTAGTGGCATGACGAAAGGCCTTCCCACATTCCTTACATTCATACGGTTTCTCATCACTGTGAGTATTCTCGTGAACTTTAAGTTTTGAAATAAGTCTAAAGGACTTTCCACATTTGTTGCATTCAAAGGGTTTCTTACCATTATGAACACACTGATGCTGAGTAAGTTGTCCAGACACACTAAAAGCCTTCCCACATTCCTTACATTTAAAAGGTTTCTCACCAGTGTGAACTCTACGATGTATAGTAAGTTTATGGCTATAAATAAAAGCTTTCCCACACTCTTGACATATATAGGGCTTCTCACCAGTATGAATCCTCTCATGTCTAACAAGATATGAAGCGGAACGAAAGGCCTTCCCACATTCTTTGCATTCAAAGGGTTTGTAACCAGTATGAATTCTGCTATGATGTCCTAGGTGTGCAGGCTGACTAAAGGCCTTCCCACATTCCTTACATTCATAGGGTCTCTCACCAGTATGAACATTCTGATGTAGTTTAAGGTATGAGTTGAGTCTAAAGGATTTCCCGCATTTGTTACACACAAAGGGTTTCTTATCACTATGAATACCCTGATGTCGAGTAAGTCGTCCATATATGCTGAATGCCTTTCCACATTCCTTACATTTATATGGTTTATCAACACTATCAGATGTATGATGGGTAGTAAGTTGATGGCTACTACTAAAAGCCTCCCCATAGTCTTTACATTCACAGGGTTTCTCCCTAATGTAAATTCTCTGATGTATGGTAAGTTGATACTTACATCTAAAGGCTTTCCCACATTGCTTACATTCATAAGGTTTTTCTCCAGTATGAATTCTTTTATGACCTACAAGGTGTGCAAACTGACGAAAGGCTTTCCCACATTCCATACATTTGTAAGGCTTCTCTCCAGTATGAATAATCTCATGTGCTTTAAGGCCTGACTTGAGTCTAAAGGCCTTGCCACATTTATTACATTCAAAGGGTTTTTCACCAGTGTGAATACTCTGATGACGTCTCAGTCGTCCATATACACTAAAGGCCTTCCCACATTCTTTACACTGATAGGGTTTCTCACCAGTATGAAATCTATGATGTGCAGTAAGTTGGCGGCTACACCTAAAAGCTTGCCCACACTCTTTACATTCATAAGGTTTCTTAGCATGAACTTTTCCACGTTTAGCGAGGTTTACAGGACGACTAAAGTCTTTCCCACATTCTTCACTTTCATAAGGTTTCTCAAGAGTATGAATTTTCTGATGGTCTCTAAAGTCTGTAAGATGACTGAAAACCTTCTCAAACTCTTCACATTGATCAGGTTTCTCACTAGTATGAATCCTCTGATGTAAAGTAAGTTCTGTAAGATGACAAAAAACCTTTTGACATTCCTTACATTCATATGATTTCTCTCCTTTATGAATTCTCTGCCGTAGAGTAACAGATGAATGTTTCCTATAAACGTGTGTTTTTCCATTGCTGATTATTTCACACCTTGAATCCAAATCTAAAGGACATAAAAGAAAAACATTTTGTTTCATGGACCAGAAAATGCAAAGATTTTTTGGTAAAATTAAGAGAAATTCTCACCTACTACAAAAGTTGAAAGAACTCTAAAATACAATTATAAAATATGGCAAATGAAATGAGAGTTCAGAAGAGGATGAGTTTTCTGTACACAATGGAGTACAGGTGAATGTTTAACAACCAGCCCAACACAGACATACAAAGCCCTGTTTTGTAGCAATTGCCAAAATCTATGGAGTAAATAATCTCACTGAGGGCAATTTCAAGTTGTCACTTTAATGTCCTAAATCCAGAGTTAGAAAGAGATGTGCATAATTGGTACTGGAGAGAGAGCTGGCCAGCTGTATCACCCCCTTTCTGTATAAAATATAAACTTATTCTAATATAGTATAAAAAAGCCAAATATATATGCCTGATTACTCTTCAATTAAAATCTCTCCCAAAATAGAGATATTCCCATCACTGTGGATTATTTTCTTCTATACATAGGCATGTATACTTCTCTTCACATATTAAATAAGATACTAACTTGATTTAGTTATCTTACCCTGAGATTTTCCTATTCTTCCTAATTCTACAGATGATCAGTCTCCTTTATTCCATCATAACTTTTTTCAGGTCCACTATAATTTTAATATTTAATGAATACTATTCTGATAATCCCCAAAGGAGTATGTTAATGAACTTTCAGACATGTAACAGGTATATAAACCAGACCTACGGAATGTTGTGGATTCTGCATCTCTGGGCAAACAGGGGACCTGAATTACATTAAAATGTATACAGGAAGAATGCCAAGAACTAGATGAAAAAGTTTGCAAAAATGAGATCAAGGATAATAGTCTATAGTCTCTATAAAGCAATTCTTTCAGCAAAACAAAAAGTGCAGAATTAATGGGACGTAACTTGTGGCAGAACATATCTCCTTGTAACTAGAGTATCATTTGTGGACAAAAGGTACAAATAATATAAACAACCTTTATAAAGTACAGCAATAGCCAGGTGCGGTGGCTCATGCCTATAAGCCCAGCACTCTGAGAGGCCAAGGTAGGTGGATCACCTGAGCTCACAAGTTTGAGACTGGCCTGAGCTAGAGCAAGACCATGTCTCTAAAATAGCTGGGCATTGTGGAAGGCATCTGTAGTTCCAGCTTGGAAGACTGAGGCAAAAGAATCACCTAAACCCAAGAGTCTGAGGTTGCTATGAGCTATGATGCCACAGCACTCTACCAGGAGTGACAAAATGAGACTGTCTCAAAAAAAAAAAAAAGCAGTAACAATAGAAATTAATACTAGAAACCAAAACCTGTTTCAGAGGGAAACTGAAATGTCTTCAGCATAATAAATGCTGGATCAACATGTAAATAAAAACACTCAACTGGAAAAAATCCAATAAACTGAGAAAACAAGTACACCACATAATCTTGGGTGTTCAATATCAATAGGAAGGGAATTCAAAGACTTAAAATATTTACCTCAATAAAAAGGAAAGGAGGCTTGGCACCTGTAGCACAGTGGTTTCGGCGCCAGCACATACACGTAGGCTGGCGGGTTTGAACTCAGCCTGAGCCAGCTAGACAACAATAACAAGTGCAACAACAACAAAAAAGTCAAGTGTTATGGCAGATGCCTATAGCCCCAGCTACTTGGGAGGCTGAGGCTAGAGAATCACTTAAGCTGAAGAGTTTCAGGTTGCTGTGAGCTGTGATACTACAGCACTCTAACAAGGGCAACATAGATACTGTCTCGAAAGAAAAAAAAGGAAAGGAAATGGATTAAGAACCACTAACCCAAATTTAGCAAATAAATAGCTAAGTATAGGCCAAATAAGGAAAAAAATGTTGAAACTAGAAAATAATGACCTTGAAAATAGAACAGCATGAACAAAAAACCTAGAGATAGGGTCTTTATAGAAATTAAGTGAAACATGAACTAAAGCAATGAAAAAGGAGAGAAAAAAATAAAACTAGGAAATGCCAAGTGGAAAATAAGAAATACAGGTTTGGCACCTGTGTGGGACCGTGGTTACAGCACCAGCCACATACACTGAGGGTGGTGGATTTGAACTTGGTCCGGGCCAAGTAAACAACTGCAATCTCTTAAGCCCAAGAGTTTGAGGTTGCTGTGATGCCACGGCACTCTAGTCAGGGAGACATAGACTCTGTCTCAAAAAAAAAAAAAAAAAAAGAAATACAGAAGAATTTGCTTAATTATGGCCAGGTGTGGAGGCTCTCATCTGGAGCTATGCTGACATCATGGCACTCTAGCCTAGGCAACTGAGTGAGACTCTGTCTTAACAAACCACCAAAATCCAATAAATCAATTTAATTATACTACTAAACAAAACTGTATCCGTATACTATGTATATCCACATTCTTTCCTGAGCTATGATAATTGAACACTTAACTAGATAACAGAAAAGAGCACTCTAAAACCATTAATTTAGAAATGGCATCCAGAACCACTGATTCCTTCCTCAGAGTTGAGAAAAACCCATCGCAGATATAAATGATCAAAAAAACCCCAGAGGCCCAATTGGGGTCAAACTCAAAAGAAAAAAGACAAAAGCAAATGACATACAGACAGACAACTTAAATATACAGCCAACTAATCCCTCAAACCAGGAAAACATATAACATACTATTTTATATGTTATAAGACAATAAAATACTTTGAGATATAATAGAATGTAGGTGAAAGCCGGGCGCGGTGGCTCATGCCTGTAATCCCAGCCACTGTGGGAGGTTGAGGAGGGAGAATTGCTTGAGTTTGAGACTTGCCTGAGCAAGAGGGAGACCTCAACTCCTAAAAAAATGGAAAAACCCAGCCGGGTGCTGCGGCGAGTGCCTGTAATCTCAGTGGCTTCTGTAGGCTGAGACAATGGGATGTCCACAGCCCAAGTCTGAGGTTGCAGTGAGCTATGACGCCATTGCATTCTGCTTAGGGCACAGGGTGGGACTCTGTCTCAACAACAACAACAACAAAAGGGCAAAGAAATAAAAATAAAAAATAAGTAAGAACATTAAAAAAAAAAAAAAAAGAATGTAGGTGAGACTAGAAAACCTTGGCTGGCCACAGTGACTCACACCTGTAATTCCAACCCTTTGGGAGGCCAAAGAAGAAGGATCACTTGAGGCCAGGAGTTCATGACCAGCTTCAGCAACACAATAAAATTTCATCTCTAGGGCGGCAGTGTGGCTCAAAGGAGTAGGGCGCTGGTGCCCTGGCCAAAAACTGGGGAAAAAAAAAGTTCATCTCTAAAAAAAAAAGTTTTAATTAGATAAGTGTGGTGTTATATGCCTGTAGCCCCAGCTATTCAGGGGCCTGAGACAGAGGGATCCAATTCCAGCCTGGGCAAAAGAGCAAGATCCTGTCTGTAAAAAGAAAAAATAAGAGGAAGAAGAAGTAGAAATGAAAGAAATAAAAATTTCAGAATGCCAAAACAATAGAGGAAGAAGAGAATGAATACAACCCATTTTAATTAAATCAAGAAAGATTTTTAAAACAAAAGGAAAGAAATATCAAAAAGATATGAAAGTAAATAACTCATCAATTGCTATTTGTTGGCTTGGAACCTGTAGCTGAAGTGGTTAAGGCGCCAGCCACATAACATCAGAGCTGGTGGGTTCGAATCCAGCCTGGGCCTGCCAAACAATAATGACAACTACAACCAAAAAACAGCCAGACGTAGTGGCGGGTGCCTGTAGTCCCAGCTAATTTGGGAGGCTGAGGCAAGAGAATCGCTTAAGCCCAGCCAGGAGTTGGAGGTTGCTGTGAGCTGTGATCCCATAGCACTCTACCCAGGGTGACAACTTGAGGCTTTGTCTCAAAAAAAAAATAATGATAAAAAATAAAAATTAAAAAAACAAAAAACAATTGCTATTTGTTTAATCTGGATTTTTGCTTATCTCTCAACATTAAAGGTTTGTCTTCTGATAAAATGATAAAAAATCCTACATCATCAGATAATGCTACTAATTACATATTAGAAATAATACTAATTCTTCATAATAAAACATGAGATCTTACAAGGACCACACCCTTCCTAACATACTGACTTCATATTCTGTTAGTTCCCGCTACTAGCTGCTTTCATATACCAGCTGCTCCTAAAACACAAACACATCTACCTCTGAGGTCTCTGCATGTGTTGTTCACTCTTCAGGGAATACTCTCCCTCATATATTCCAATGACCTGACTTCATACCTCTGTACAAAAGTCACCTCCACAGAAAAGGAGGTGACTTTTATACAGTCATCTCCATCCTACCTGATGTAAAAGTGCCCTGTTCTTGTACTTCATAGTATATTTCATGGCCTGATAATATTTTTATTTTCACATGTATTCTACATCTTCCTTAATACACTCTAATCTTCATCATTACAATAACACTATCTGTCTTATTCAGTATTGCCAGACTTACTGTGCCAAGCATGGTGCAATATGTAGAAATAAATGTATTTTTAGGGAATACAGCCATGCATACAAATCTATGTGCAAAGGAGGATTTGGACAAAATTTACACGTAATAAATCAGGTAATATGACTACTCCCTACAAGGATGGTAGCTGCCACTAAATTAGGGAGGAATTTGAGAAAAATAACATGGCCAGTAGGCATTAAAATAAACACAAACTTCACTGGCTATCTCTTGCTGATTCATATTTTTCTGCACATCACAAGCCTTTTCTCCACTGAGAAGCTCATGTGTTTACCAAATGAAACCACCACTTCTACTTGGGCTGTTACTTACATAAAAGGCTTTCCCTGCCTCACTTGCTCTTACCTGTACACTCTCTTCTTGTTTCTTCCCTCACAACCATCCAGGGTTCTTTTCCTTGCTCCAATAAGGTAATTATATGCGGCTTAGACATGGAAGGTCCTGCTTACAAAAAAATAAGCACCACAAAATATGGAAATAAACTTTGAAATTCAAAATTTAAATTATAATGGCAACAAATAAAAAGCGACATTGAATAAGATTTTAAGAGAAGAGTGAGAAATAAAGAAAAAGAGGGTGGCGCCTGTGGCTCAAGGGTAGGGCGCCGGCCCCGTATGCCAGAGGTGGTGGGTTCAAGCCTAGCTCTGGCCAAAAACTGCAAAAAAAGAAATAAAGAAAAAGAGATCAGTTAGTAAGAAGCAATGTTTTTGTCTGGTTTTTCTTTTTAAAATAATGTAAATTCTTTTGTCCTCTAATTCTAGAGAACAAGCACCATGTGGTTCGAAACATACACTCTGAAGTCTAAGATCAATTTGTGACTTTGAAACCATCCAGCTATATGACCTTAGGCAAGTCTCTTCACTTTACTATTCTCGCTTATATAATTGGGACAATAATTGGGATGTTAGGAGGATTAATTAATATAATTTCATTTATTAAGTATAAGGTTCAGCGCCTGTAGCTCAGTGGTTAGGGTGCTGACCACATATAAACTGGAGCTGGTGGGTTCGAACCCAGCCTGGGCCTGCTAAACAACAATGACTACTACAACAAAGAAAATAGCTGGGAGTTGTAGCGGGCGCCTATAGCCCCAGCTACATGGGAGGCTGCAGTAAGAGAATTGCTTAAGCCTGAGTTTCAGGTTGCTGTGAGCTGTGATGCCACTGCACTCTACCCAGGACGACAGCTTGAGACTCTGTCTCAAAAAAACAAAACAACAACATATATGTATATATATGTGTGTGTGTGTGTCTGTCTGTGTGTATAAAAAGTAGTAAAGTGGATAGAAAAATGTCTGGCACACAATAATTACAATGTTAGCAGTTACGATTTGTTATGCTGGGCAGCAGTGAGTAGGGTGCTGGCCCCATATACCAAAGGTGGCATGTTCAAACCCGACCCTGGCCAAACTGCAACAAAAAATAGCTGGACATTGTGGCAGGTGCCTGTAGTCCCAGCTACTCTGGAGGCTGAGGCAAGAGAATCACCCAAGCCTAAGAGCTGTGATGGCACGGCACTCTACTGAGAGTGACAAAATGAAACTCTATCTTTAAAAAAAAGAAAAAAGATTTGTTATGCTACTATAATTATTTTACTAAGAGTATCTAAGAAGAAATATCTATAACATATTCATTCTATTTTACACATGATTTTCATGGATTATAAATTTCAACCAAAAATCAAATCAACTCTGTCTTAAGAAATGGGCTGTTTTCTACTCAGTTTTATGTGAATCCCATTTCTCTAATTCACCACTATATGAAGAAGCTCTCTTTTGATAATAACAGCAATTTAGGACTCTCTAACAAGTTCATGTCACAGTAACTGCATCAGACAGGGAGGTCTGAATGTCACTGAAATACAGGGAAGATGAAACTGTTTAACAGAGATGCCATTAGCACCCCAGTAAAGCTGAAATCACTTCTGTAGAAAATAAGAGAAACAAATTTAACTAGTTTCTTGAAAGGCAGCCCTGAAAATTACAATGGAAAAAGCATGTATCAGGCCAGGCCTAGTGGCTCTGTAATCCCAGCACTCTGGGAGGCTGAGGCGGGTGGATTGCCTGAGCTCACAAGTTCAAGACTAGCCTGATCAGGAGCAACTCCCCACCTCTAAAAATAGCCAGGTATTGTGGCAGGCGCCTATTGTCCCAGCTACTTGGGAGGCTGAGGCAAGAGAATCGCTTGAGCCCAAGAGTCTGAGGTTGCTGTGAGCTAGGACACCATAGCCCTCTAACAAGGGCAACAAAGTGAAACTCTGTATCAAAAAAAAAAAAAAAAGAAGCATGTATCCTACTGAGCAGATTCTAAATTATTCCAAATTATTTGAAACTGATAAACATACCCAGTGAGACTAAGTTACCATAGTTCTCCATCATCACATCCCGGTACAAGGTCTTCTGGGCGATGCTAAGATAGTTCCACTCATGACGAGAGAAGTTTATGACCACATCCCTGAAAGTTAGGGACTCCTGAAATAACAAATATTTATATTAGTGGAAAAATTAAAGATTTAGAAAATGGAGTAGAAGAGATGATGGATTGCATTACTGCAAAAGAACAACATGATCAATACACAGACTAGAAATCTATGATGTTCAGGGAGGGGAATGCAGTAAAATGTATCCCTATTTTTGAAGAAGCATGTGACATGGACAAAACTTTTTGCATGCTCTGGGATATTTGGCCCATTTCAGAATGAAAGAATAATAATGTTTTCTATTAAATCAAATCATTACTATATGCATAATGCCTGAGATGTCTGCCCCATAATCAATGTGAATTAACTGAGGAATATCCTCACTTGAAAATTTAATCATTAGACATTTTATTCAACATATAGGCTCGGCGCCTATAGCTCAACCGGCTAAGGCACCAGCCACATACACCTAAGGTGGCGGGTTCGAATCCCCAGCCCGGACCCGCCAAAAAACAACAATGACGGCTGCAACCAAAAAAAAAAGAAAATAGCCGGGCGTTGTGGCGGGCGCCTGTGGTCCCAGCTACTTGGGAGGCGGAGGCAGGAGACTCGCTTGAGCCCAGGAGTTGGAGGTTGCTGTGAGCTGTAATGCCACGGCACTCTACCCAGGGGGACAGCTTGAGGCTCTGTCTCAAAAAAAAAAAAAAAAAAAACATATAGTATAGAGTCTCAATTTTAGAAAACTAAGTTCTGGCTTGGCGCCTGTAGCTCAAGTGGCTAGGGCGCCAGCCACATACACCACAACTGGAGGGTTTGAATCCAGCCCAGGCCCACCAAACAATAATGACAACTATAACCAAAAAATAGCCAGGCCATATGGCGGGCACCTGTGGTCCCTTCGGAGGCTGAGGCAAAAGGATCACTTAAGCCAGAGTTTGAGGTTGCTGTGAGGTGTGACGTCACAGTACTCTACCCAGGGTGACAGCTTGAGACTCTGTCTCAAAGAATAGAAGAAAGATGGGGTGGTGCTGTGGCTCAAAGGAGTAGAGCTCTGGCCAAAAACTGCAAAAAAAAAAAAAAAAAACTAAGTTCCATAAAATTAAAGATTTCTTCAAGTAAAAAGTACTTACTTCACTATTCCAGATCTTAACATGAGTTATTTGTTTTCACAAAACAAAATTTTTTGGCACATGACATCATTACTTTTTTTTTTTTTTTGAGACAGAGTCTCACTGTCGCCCTAGGTTGAGTGCAGTGGTGTCATTATAGCTCACCGCAACCTCAAACTCCTGTGCTCAAGTGATCCTCTTGCCTCAGCCTCCTGGGTAGCTGGGACTACAGGTGCCACCATAATGCCTGATTAGTTTTTCTATTTTTAGTAGAGATAGGGTCTTGCTCTTGCTCTTGCTCAGGCTGATCTGTAACTCCAGAGCTCAGGCAGTCTATACTCTACTCACCTCCACCTCCCAGAGAACTAGGATTATAGGAGTGAGCCACCTCACCCAGCCATGACATCATTATTTTATGGTATTTATTTCTCAGGGTAGTCTCTCCAAATCCAGAAGATACAATATAATTGTGTATATATACTAATCACACAAGTATGCAATTTTGCCTTACACAATGATATTACATCTTTCAATGCCAAATTCTACTTTATCTAGCTGAAAAACTCAATTGTCTGGAAAATTTCAGACTTCTCATGGATGGTCAGATGGAATGGTTATGTCAGTCTCACCAAATGACAAAATGACCTGGAATACACTATCTTAACTTCAAGGAACTTAACTCCTTTACCCTCTACTGCTGCCCATACTAAAACAGGCACCTAGTAGATGTCAAATAATGTGGCCAATAATGATGTGAACACTAGTTAGTTTGCAGTAGGCCACACAGTGAAGATGGCTGGGTGATGTGGCACACACTCTTACTAAGGACCCTCTCATAGTAGGTAACTTCAAGAAAACTAATGAAAAGACTCTCATGACCTAAATCAAACCTACATAGCAACAAGGAGAGAAATACTGACTTACATAGGCCATGGTTTTATACCGACAAGAGCTGATCAGTCCTCAGGGTTTCTCTACCAGAAAAGCACAGAGTCTGGAGAAGCTAGACCTGAAAGAAGACAAAGACCTTGAGACCAGCTGAAGTTTGGGTGTTCTCCAGGACTATTTGGCTCTACCATCTCAGGTTCCAAACCACCTTCTTTCACATACAATTTGGGAAGATTAGGATTCTAGAGAAACTCATTTCCTCCAGACATCTCACCCCTACACAGAGTCATAGAGCAGAAAAGTCATAGAGCATTGAAGCCAGACTTAGATACTGCAGCAGGAAATTTTCTGGCTAATGCACCATTTTGGTGAGGCTGATGGGGATGTAAGATTGGCAGATCTGTCCTTCTTCTAAGCAGATCTCTCTCTTTCCATTCCCACTTTTAAGAATGAAAAGAGGACATACTGTCTATACCAGCACCTCTTTTTGATCTTGAAATTGGGTGAAGTGAAGATATTGGAGAAAGACAGCAAGGATTCAGCATTCTTCAGTGTATAGCAACACTTACTAAATATATGACAGACTGTCACTGTCCTAGACTACAAAGTAGTCATTAAATGTGAAGTTGAGAAAAATATTTAAGGACATGTAAAATATTCTGTAATAATAACAAAAGAAAAAATCAGATTGACCAATATTTATTTTTGTAAAATATATAAATATACTGGGTGGCGCCTGTGGCTCAGTGGGTAGGGCGCCGGCACCCTATTACTAGGGTGGTGGGTTCGAACCTGGCCCCAGCAAAACTGCAACAAAAAATAGCAGGGCATTGTGGCGGGCGCCTGTAGTCCCAGCTACTCTAGAGGCTGAGGCAGGAGAATCACCTAAGCCCAGGAGATGGAGGTTGCTGTGAGCTGTGATGCCACAGCACTCTACCAAGGGCAATAAAATGAGACACTGTCTCTAAAAAAAAAAAATTAATAATATATATAAATATATTAAATAGTACAGAAAGAATGACAGATAATCATAAAACAGAAGATAGAGAAGACTGAAAATTATTATATATATCTTTTTTTTTCTGAGACAGAGTCTCACTTTGTCGCCCTCAGTACAGTGCCATGGCATCATAGCTCACAGCAATCTCCAACTCTTGGGCACAAGCGATTCTCTTGCCTCAGCCTCCTAAGTAGCTGGGACTACAGGTGCCAGCCACAATGCCCAGCTATTTTTAGAGACAGGGTCTTGCTCTGGCTCAGGCTGGTCTCTAACCTGTGAGCTCAGGGGAATCCACCCACCTCAGTCTCCCAGAGTGCTAGGATTACAGGCGTGAGCCACTACGCCTGGCCTCACAGTATTTTTTTTTGTTTGTTTCTTTCTTTTAGAGACAGAATCTTGCTCTGTCATCATGCTGGAGTGTAGTGGCATAAGCACAGCTCACTAGAACCTCAAATTTGTGGGGTAAAGTGATCTTCTGGCCTCAGCCTCCCCAACAGCTGGGACTATCAGCTCAGACCAACATGTCTGACTAATTTTTCTTACTTTTTGTAGAGAGAGGGTCTCAGTATGTTGCCCAGGCTGGTGTCAGACTCCTGGCCTCACATCATCCTCCCACCTTGGACTTCCAAAGTTCTGATATTACAGGTATGAACTACCAGGCCCAGCCAAGCATATATTGATAGTACTTGTCGTGTTGGTTTGGGTTTTATTATAAATAAATCACTGTGTATTCAGATCTCTTTGGTCAATACATGAAACAACTCACTAAATAAGGCTCAATGAGAAGTAAAATAAAGCATTGGGTGTAAATTTCTAAATAATCAGAATTTGATAATCAACATTGCATTTATTTTTGCCAAGATTTTGCTTTCTAATCATTTCCTTTGTAATTATTGCAAATACAGGCATATTAACTTAAAATGGGCGTGTGTTTCAGAATTTGTTAAGGTGAAGATTTCCATAAAATGGTTTTATTGAATGGCATATCTTCTGTGTTTTCATTTGGATTCCAATACCTTAACTCACTTTATCACTTTTCATGTTATGTTGGAGCTGTGTCCTGAAAATATAGGAAACTGGCCCTGACTAATCGCCTCTATAAATCACGATGGTTTCAATCCTGCTTTAATTCAGGTATTCTTTTTTTTTTT